GGGTGAGGGGTGAGGGGTGAGGGGTGAGCAGCGGCCACGCTCCTCCCACTGCAGGAAGGGCCTTCCAATTTCCCGCTCACCAGTGAGTGTCCTACTAACTTGTCCTTCACCTTCAAATGTGTGGCCTGGCTCCAGACCACTAGTTCTGGGGACTTTCTTGGGGGGAAGGAGGAGTTGTCCTTTGACTTGGTGGTGGGTGTTTTTTGCTCCCCTTTGTTTTGAGTTTTGGTTGTTACTGTTGCTTTTGCTGTCCACTTAAAGGAGAGAGGAGGTGCGAAATCAGTAGACATGGCACAGAGGTGATTAAAAATGGATGCTCCTCTGTTCAGAGTTTACATCAAAGGAAAAGAAGAGAAAAATAATATACATATATATACATATATACATACATATATATATACACACATACACACTCTCCAGGCTCAAGTGTAGAACTCTTGATGAACCTGGAGGGAAAGTACAATAAAAGCCACCCTCGCATGTGTTCGTGCGTTTCAGGTGGAGCTGATGTAACTCTTTCAGGTGGAGCTGATGACGGGAACAGATGGCAGAAAGGAAATCTTAAATTATTCGCCCCGTGCCGAGAGCGGGGTGGGGGTGTGACAGGAGTGGGCGGTGCTTTCTCCAACTACTAAGCTTTGCCCGGTGCCCTCTGGGCTCCCCCACATATTACTGGGTAAGAAGCTACCGCCTAGTTCCACCTGAGGGACAGGCTGTCTGCGTGCTCCAGCAGGTGACTCTGCCATGAAGTCACCCCTCCCCGGTCCCCAGCCTCCAGCTGAAGCCTTGATTCACGCTGTTACACTGGAGAAAGTACCCTTTGATCATATGAGTTTATAAAATTTCAAAAGAAAAAACTATGGAAGAAGAACCCTCAAAGGGTATTTTCAATAGACAATCAATAGGTGGTAAAGAGAAACCATCCCTGGGGGGTAGTTCAAACTGGGGTTGGTAGACCAGAGTGGAAAAGACTATTGTCTGGAAATGCAGTTGTTCCACTCAAGGGAGAGTGTGAACGCCAGTTGGATGCTCAGAGGGATCTAGCTCTTCCCCGGGAAGCAGAGAGCCCATGAGCTCCGGGCTACAGGAAATTGTTCGGCTTATTAAGGGAGCCACATAAATTACTTGAATCCTTGGATGGAAAAATAAACTAAATTGGAAAGCTAAGTTCAAGGCCTAGAAGAGTTAAATTCACTAATCTGATCACGGTGGGGATGATGTATGACTATTTCCTTTATAGCCTCAGCCCTTTTACAATGTGGGGTCCTTGCAAAGAGCACACTTATCCCGTAAGGTACAGCCAGCCGGGAGGGGAGCAGTGTGGAACCTCCGAGCTGTTAGCAATCTCTGAGCACCCGGGATCCCTTGGAGAATTAGAGTGTAGTAGACTAACAATTTCCATATCAATAGAACCCACTGTGCTCACAGATAGGCAAGGTGCTTCTAATTAGTGCTGCTTAATAAGGTGTCGTCTTGTGCACATTTTACAGGGAGCCACCAACTGATGCCTCCTTTCTAGGAATGAGCTGAGGCCTCTATCTGCAGAGTGGCCAGTCATTCAAATATGACAATGGGTGTCTAAGTTTTCTGAGCAGGACTCATCCCTCTAAAGTTGAATGAATGGAGCTCTTCACATCTGTCAAGTTCAAAGTCAAGAATGGGAATGTTTGCCCCTTTAGAGAATGTTGCAGTGCATTAACACTGAGCATGCACTCACTGCAGCCATGGTGCACTATCTACATAAACGTTCCCTGGGCTTCTCCTTAGCTTCATGCCTAGTTTAGCTAGGCTGGCATTCCATAGGCTAAATCAAATTATCCAACATATATTTGGCTTGAATTGAAACAATTCACAGGGTTCTGGAGATAGAGTAGAGCACAGTCTCTATAACCCCTCAAAAGTGCCCGCTCTATCCAATGTTTCCTTTTTGGATCTAGATTACCTAAAGGAACTGGAGCCCAACTGATGCTTATACATTGTTAAATTCTCATCAATGCAAAAAGCAAGATATATGCTGATTCCCTCAAGTATCACACTTAAGCCCTGGCCAGTGTTACTCAGTGGTTAGAGTGTTGACCTGGGCACCAAAGGGTCATGGGTTCGAT